CGCCACAGGCGGATCGGGCCCTGGGGGGAACCCCACCCCCAAAGCACGTGATGTGGACATCACCCGGAAGTGACACGACCACGCCAGGCACTCTGGGGGCGGGGCCACGGTCATCCGAGGGAAAACTATGGTTTTCCCTCAGATGGTTGTGGCCCCACCCCCAGCGTGCCCGGCGTGGTTGCATCACTTCCGGGTGACGTGGTTGCGGCGCACGTGTGCTTTGCGCATGCACGCGCACTCCCGGAGCAGCGCTGGAGTCCCCCACTCCAGCGCCGATCCAACTTGGCAACTCTATAAAATGTAGATGTTTTGGTCAATCTGTTCTGTGATTTTAAGAATGCATAGGCCGTTCAGTCATTTTAAATACCGTGTATTTCCATAAAACTTATAAGATTCATGTACATTGCTGTAACTGACCTTGTGCTGGTCACGAACCGTATGAATAAATTTGACTAGATCTTTGACTCAGGCCATTGGCCCCACCAATTTCCCCAGCGGTTTTAATTGCCACTCCACCCCTCTCCACCCTCAGGTCTGCCATCTTCCCTGTGTCTCTGCTATTTCCATAGATCTGCTTACTTGTACTTCTGAATGGGCAAGAGAAACTGGGAAGTAACAGCTCTCAAGGCCTCAGGTGCGACCCGTGTAGCTTTTGCCCCGCTTTCGAGCTCTCTGTGGCCCAGGAAATCCAGCAAAGCAACACAGGGATAGTGGATTTCCTAACGAAAGATGCAGCAGAGCCCGTCCGAGGGTGTGACTGATGCGCGTCACCAGTGCAATGCTGAGGCTTCATGATGAATAGTTGTTGTGGATATGAGAGCTGCAGTTTTGGGGTGGGGGTGTGTGCCCATGAAGATAACAGACCTGTGCGTGCAATGTTGTGTGTACGCATGTTTACGCAGCTGCCTGTGGGTGTGGTGAGTGGGGCTGCCTGGAAAAGAAAATGAAATAGCTAGGAAGAACAAATGATATGATTAAAAATACAGAAACGAAAGACATTAGAAGACAAATGTAAAAATCTGTAAGGAAATTGGATGTTACAAGTACGTCTATCAGGGCGTGCAGGGTATGTTTGACGCTTCATTTGGGAATTGCCCTCCCGATGCAACTGCTGAAATATTTTTATCAATTGACAGTCCCAAAACTAAGAAGAGCTTTTACTTTGGCAAGTTTTTTACTTTTACAAAGCTTTTACTTTGGCAAGTTTTCCCTCGGCAGTTTTGGAGGGCAGATATAATAAAGTATCATACTTTAATAGAACGTGCAGATGCTCATATCATACAATCGAAACCATTGAACATATGATTATGGAGTGCCCTATAGTCGATGAGTTGCGGGCTAATTTAGTCACCCCTTTACTTAAAGATATGGAACTGCTAAATGTGCGAGCCCGGGTGTCAGGGCTACTATCGGACACCAATGAGGAAGTGGAATTCCAAAAACAACATCCAGGACAAAAATAACAAAGAGTCAATGAAGATAAGTCGGTGTAGACCTTGGGTTCTGTTATTCGAGAGTCAACATGGAATGCTGATAAGTAGTAATGGATAAGAATTGGGATTGCTAGACGCTCAGATAAAGCAAACATTGTGAAACGAATTGTTTACATTGCGCAGTATTCGTTGCATGTGAGCGATAACAGAAAGACATTTCTACAGAATTACGACAGTAAATGTTTCTGCAGCTTATCTTTATTGACTCTTCGTTATTTTTGTCACGGATGTCGTTTTTGGAATTCAGCCTCCAGGTGGGGCCTGGAGGTCTCTTGGAGTTACGGCTGATCTCCAGATTCCGTAAGATCCATTCCAATGGATGAAATGACTGCTCGGGGTGTGTGCGGACTCTGTAGCATTATACCCCGCTGAGGTCCCTCTCCTCCTCAAACCCTGCTTTCCACAGGCTCCTCCCCCAAATCTCCGGCAGTTTCCTAACCTGGAGTCAGCAGCCGTGGTCGTGAATCAGGAGAGCTTGTACAAAGGTGGATCCCCCTACAGCAGCACTGTATGCTACAAACGGGGGACTTTTTTGTGGTGGGTGAAGAGCTCTTTTTTCAGAATCCGGGAGGCAACGTGAGGATGCCCCGATGACTCCTGACAGTTCCACCCTCCCCCTACACCCAAATATTCCTTCCAACCTTGCAACCAATGTTCCCTCTAAGCTATGGAGTCTTGTGAGCAAAGAATTCTACTTTGTGAGCTACTGGCATTAAAGTGGTGAGCAGGTGATTTGGCTGCTGCATAAATTGGTTTGCTCTGGAGCCCTCCTTCCTGAGCGAAGGCAGAAATGCGTGAGCCGGAGGCTCAAAAAACGTGAGCTAGCTCACACTAACTCAGCTTAGAGGGAACACTGCAGCCCTTGAAACTTGGCATTTTTCTGCCCCCCCTTCCAACAGACCCCAGGCCAAGATGGCTTCTGCGTTCCACCTACGCCCTGAGGAATCCGGGCCCCTTTCCCCGTAGAACACAAAGCTTAATTTTGGCAAGGCTCACAGAGGAGAATCGCTGGTGGATTATGTCTGATCTTCCCCTCTGTGTGTGTGTGTGTACTTTTTTTTAACCCACTTGCTTCTATTTATTGTTTATTTATTTATTATATTTATACCCCGCCCATCCTGCGAACGGGCTCAGGGCGTCTAACAAAGCGGTACAATGTACCTAATTGGCATAGCCATAAAAATTTAAAACTACATAAAACACATACTCATTCATTACCCTGATGGGAGGGAGAGCAAATGATTGGCATTTGGAGGGGGGGGGGAATGTCTTTCTCTCCAGAGAGGGCTTTTTTTGTAGAAAAAGCCCAGCAGGAACTCATTAGCATAATAGGCCACACCCCTGACACCACAGTTTATTAGCACATTAGGCCGCACCCACATGTTCGCAGAAGTGTGCTCATCCAGCCACACCCACCTTTCCCTTCTTATTCTGTTTACCTTGTTTGTTCTCAAAACCCAGGGCCTTTTTTTGTAGCAGGGACTCCTTTGCATGTTAGGCCACACACCCCGAATGTAGCCAATCCTAATGAGTTTCTGCTGTTGGGTGTGGCCTGTTATGCTAATGCGTTCCTGCTGGGCGTGGCCAACTCGGGAGCCAGCCGGAACTCCGTTCCTGTGCGTGCCTGCCCAAAAATAGCCTTGCAGAGAGTCATCTGCCACTTCGCCCCATGACACTCTGTGGCAAGCTGCCTTTGAGACCCAGGGGAGTGTGTAAAAACGATGGATCTCATCTGCCCCGGAAGGGGCAGGGCAGCCAGGTGATCAGCTTCCCACAGGGATGACAATGGACCCGTGAGCCATTTGCATCAGTCTTGAGCAGCTTTTTCCGGTCTGGGGTCTTGGTCTGTGCTGAAGATGCCTGTTGATTTTTTTGCCCCTTCCTTCCAGGTGAGGGGGGGGGGAAATCCTTTTCTCTGGAGTTGTGGGGTCACACAACTCTCTCGTCCCCTTTCTTTCCAGATCCCCTTTCCTCAGAGGGTCTAACAAGTTAACAACACAATACACAGTTGTTGTGGATTTTCCGGGCTGTGTGGCCGTGGTCTTGGCGTTGTAGGACCTGACGTTTCGCCAGCCGCTGTGACGGGCATCCTCAGAGGTAGAACACAGAAAGATGGAGAGCCAGTTTGGTGTCGTGGTTAAGTGCGCGGACTCTAATCTGGGAGAACCGGGTTTGATTCCCCACTCCTCCACTTGCCACCTGCTGGATGACCTTGGGCAAGCCGTAGTTCTGATAAGAGCTGTCCTTGGAAAAGAGCAGTTTCTGTCAAGAGCTCTCTCAGCCCCACCTGCCTCACAGGGTGTCTGTTGTGGGGAGGGGAAGGGACAGGAGTTTGTAAGCCGCTCTGAGACACCTTTGGGTAGTGAAGGTTGGGGTATAAATCCAATCTCCTCCTCCTCCTCTTCTTCTCTCTGTGTCAACGTGAGAAGAAAAATGGTAGGCAGATAATTTATATCTACTCAGGAAGGTGGGTTGGGGCCGAGTCATCTTGTAGGAGTTCCCCACTTTCCTGAGTAGATATAAAGTACCTACCTACCACTGTTCCCTCTAAGCTGAGTTAAGGTGAGCTAGCTCAAAGTTTTTTAGCCTCCGGCTCACACATTTTTGTCTTAGCTCAGGAAGGATGGCTCCAGAGCAAACTAGTTTATATCACTCACTCACAACTTTAATGCCAGTAGCTCACGAAATTGAATTTTTGCTCACAAGACTTCACAGCTTAGAGGGAACATTGCTGCCTACCATTTTCCTTCTCACTTTGACACAGAGAGTACTCCATCTTTCTGTGTCATACCTCTGAGGATGCCCATCACAGCTGCTGGCGAGACGTCAGGTCCTACAATGCCAAGACCACGGCCACACAGCCCGGAAAATCCACAACAACGAATGAACTCCGACCGTGAAAGCCTTCGACAACAATACAGTATTTGGTTAGAGTCCAGGTCTGCCCTGGGAACTGCTGGGCAGATGTGCCCTTGCAAGTTGCCCAGTTCCCAGGTGTGTGGGCCTCCTGAATTGAATTGGGACTACGGCCCACCACGAGAGGGGCCTGTGGCTCTCCCTCTGTGCCATTTTTCTGACCAGGAGACAGCCCAGCAGGAACTGTCTGCCATGTTGAAGAAGACTTTGAGTACTCCATCAGTAACCTGTGGGGCCCGTTATGCAGAGGGGTGAGGCAGAGGTTCCCAGCAAGGAACGCATAAGTGTACATCTGCGTACATTTTTTCCTGGGTCCTTATATCATTACGGTCCCTGTGCCATTGTGGAGCCTGTGTGTTTGTGGGTTCAGAACCGCCCGTGTGCGTCCTGCTTTACTTCTGTTGCTGGAACCCGGCATTAAAGGAGCTTCAGTGGTTAGTCTTGGCAAGGCGAAACTGAGCGGAGTCCCACTGCTTCGGCCATGCACTTTCCCGATTCAAACGGAAAGGCCCGTGCGTTTGGCTGTGGCGAGCAGAGAAGCCTGCCGTCCTCAGCCAGTCTCCTTGATTGTCCTTTTCTCTTTGATTCAAGGCAAGTGAGTCTGAGAGTGAGAGCCCCAAAAGAAGAAGCCAAAAGCAGGTGAAGAAAACGTAAGTCTGTGCTGGGGGAGTCCTTCGAGGTCTGTGTGTTATTTCCGAGGCGACCTGGGTGGATTTTAGAAAGGTCTCCTGTTATCTGTGAACGCTTGAAATGTCCCGCATCAGAAGTGAGTCCCATGTTGAACCTCGTTATTATTATTCACTTCATTTATACCCTACTGGGGACCCAAAACAGCCTACATTCTTGCCTCCATTTCCTCCTCACAACAACCCTGTGAAGTAGGTCAGGCGGAGATTGTGTGAGTGGCCCCGGGTCGCCTAGCAGGCTTCCACGGCAGAACGGAGATTTGAACCTCGCTCTCCTAGATCGGAGTCGGACAGTACCCCACACTGTTTCATGCCTGCAACACGGGATCCACTTTTAATTTTTTTACTCACTGCCATCTTCCTCCCCTCTCTAGCCTGGCTGGAGGCAAAGAGGGCAGCAGAGATCCCATATTTTTCATAGTTGAGGCAAGGAGGGCGTTTGAACAAGAGCCGCTCTCAGCACATATTCAGCCTCTTCTTTTGCCCAGCGACTAAATGGAGCACGGACCCTCTCGTCCTCCGTTACTTTCCTTGAATATCTGTTCCTTGCTTCAATCCCCAAAGGCTCCCAAAGCGGCTTACGGGGGTGGTGGTGGTGGGGATACAAAAGAAGTACAATAGGTAATCCTGCTGTTAGGTGCCTAGTTAGGAAAATACCCTCCCCTCACCATTGTACCCCTAGCTTAGATAAAATTGTGTCTGTAAACCGCTCTGAGCCTCACGGATGCGGTATATTAATCGCAAATGTAATGTAATGTTGTCGCAGAATACGTTTGCATTCTGCGAATAAAATGAAATGATAATACAAATATATTTTTCAGAAAGTGCAGTAGGAAAAAAACAGAATTTAAATAAAGAAAAGAAACATAACTCTCTCTAGCTTGGGCTGCCCTGCGCTGGATGACCCCGGCCAGCCTGGTCACATTCAGTCTCCGGAGCTAAGTAGGATCGCCCCTGCTTAGGACTTGGATGGGAAACGGCCAAGTACGCCCGTGGTTGCTATTCAGAGGAAGGCCACGGCAAACCAGCTCTTGTCAGTCTCATGCCTTGAGAAACACCCCCCCCCCCAAGGCAGGCCCACAGCCACAGCGGGGCATTCTGGGGCTCTGCCCCCCTAATTAAAAGCCTTGCCCCCTCACAAATAGCCATGCCAGAAACCTTATATTTTTGGGGGTATTTTTTTTGGGGTGTGTGTGTGTAAAAACCTTATATTTTAGGAGAGACCCCCGCAGGCACTGGCACTGTGGCTTGGCTTCAGACTTCCCTCTCCCTCCCATTGCGGAATCCTTGGGGGGGCATCGTGAGACCTGGGAGAAGATCGCGCAGAAGGCATTTCAGTGCCTGCTGGGTTCCCTTTCACGGGGCAAGAAAGTTTAGAAGGGCACTCAAGAAGGGCACTTCAATACACCTGGAGCCTCCCCCTTTAAAGTCAGGCATTCAGATTAATGTAATTATCTGTCATTAAGCTGCCCCCTTAAAAATTTAAATGCCCCACCGAACAAAACACTCCTGGCGATGGGCCTCCCCCCCCAGTGGTTAGCTGTGACTCGACAGCTCTTGACGCAAACTCAGCGCTTGGGCTGGTCATGGATCTGACGAGCCCTTCAACTTAGCCCTGTTGGCCCCACCCAAGCTCCTGGGCATCTGGTTCTCTTGCTCTCCTTCCCCGTTTCTGGCAAAGAAGCCCTTCATCGGCAGCTGCGCCGCCATGATCAATGTTCCCTCTAAGCTGTGGAGTCTTCTGAGCAAAACTTCTACTTTGTGAGCTACTGGCGTTAAAGTTGTGAGCGAGCGATTTGGCTACTGCATCAATTGGTTTGCCACGGAGCCCTCCTTCCTGAGCTGAGGCAAAAATGTGTGAGCCGGAGGCTAAAACACTGTGAGCTCGCTCACACTAACTCAGCTTAGAGGGAACACTGACCATGACCAGCCTCAACTCAGGGGGTGACCTGCCCGTCGAAGTTCTGGGTTGCGGGGGGGGGGGAAGCCCCGTGTGAACGCTGACGCCCCTTCTGCCGCTTCCCTTTTCCGTCTAGAGAGAGATGGAGGCGGGAGGGCTCCGGCGAGGATGGGGAGGACGAACAGGACCAAGGCACCAGTGCAGAGAGCGAGCCGGAGCAGAAGACGCTGAGAGCCCGCAGGCCCAACTTGAGGAGGTGAGGAGGGCTCGGAGTCGTTCTCTCGCTTCGGGTCGCTGCCGCCGCCGCCTTGGGCCCCGATCCCGTTGCCTTTGAGCTCAGCCTGACTAGTAAGCCGAAAGGTGCATTCAAATGAGCTGCTTTCCCTGGAAAAGCCTCACTGGCTAAATTTTTGCATGTCGATTGGCTGCGAAGTTGCAACTGACTTACGGCAACTCAGCAAGGGGCTTTCGGGGCAAGTGAAAAGGAGAGGTGGTTTACCACTGCCTTCCTCTGCAGAGCCTTCCTTGGGGGTCTCCCTTCCAAGCACCGACCCTGCTTAGCTTCCCCCCGCAAGGGGCTTTCTGGGCAAGTGAGAAGCAGAGGGGGTTTGCCACTGCCTTCCTCTGCAGAGCCTTCCTTGGGGGTCTCCCTTCCAAGCACCGACCCTGCTTAGCTTCCCCCCGCAAGGGGCTTTCTGGGCAAGTGAGAAGCAGAGGGGGTTTGCCACTGCCTTCCTCTGCAGAGCCTTCCTTGGGGGTCTCCCTTCCAAGCACCGACCCTGCTTAGCTTCCCCCCGCAAGGGGCTTTCTGGGCAAGTGAGAAGCAGAGGGGGTTTGCCACTGCCTTCCTCTGCAGAGCCTTCCTTGGGGGTCTCCCTTCCAAGCACCGACCCTGCTTAGCTTCCCCCCGCAAGGGGCTTTCTGGGCAAGTGAGAAGCAGAGGGGGTTTGCCACTGCCTTCCTCTGCAGAGCCTTCCTTGGGGGTCTCCCTTCCAAGCACCGACCCTGCTTAGCTTCCCCCCGCAAGGGGCTTTCTGGGCAAGTGAGAAGCAGAGGGGGTTTGCCACTGCCTTCCTCTGCAGAGCCTTCCTTGGGGGTCTCCCTTCCAAGCACCGAACCTGCTTAGCTTCCGAGATCTGCCGAGATCAGACTGTAACATGCTGCCTCTCTCCTTGGAGATGCAAGGAGAGGCTTTTTAATGACTAACAAGCAACTTGCCAACTCTGTGTGCTCCCCTTTCTTATATGGACAGTCTCTTCCGGCGTGGGCTTTCCTTAGATTTTGCTTTGCAAGCGCTGTGCCCATGATTCCGTGGGCCGCCTTTCCCGGTTCTGTGCCAAGGGAGCCTCGATTTCCTTCCCCTTCCTTTGTATAATACCCGTGACTTGTTTTAGACCTCTGGGCAAGACGGCGGCAAAGAAGGCCCACAGGCCCCAGCGTGGGAAGAGGAGGAGGAAAACAGAGACGTCGGAGGACGAGGATGACGATGAAGATGACGAGGCCCCCAAAAGACAGACCCGGCGCCGAGCAGCCAAAAACGTCAGGTATTGGTGGGTGCAAGCCCTGTGTTGGGCCTTTCCAGATTTCATACACCTCTGTCATTTAATTGATTTAGAAAATGTATAGGTTGCCTCTCCAGAGACTTGCTCTAGGTGGCTGTCCGGCACATTTTTATGCCCTCCTTTCTCTGAAGGTCTTCCCTCCTCCATTCTTGGTCTTAAAACAACCCCGTGAGGTAGGTTGTGAGCCGGTAGACTGGTTCAAGGTCACCCAGTGCTCCTCATGGCTCAGTGGAGACTCAAAGCCAGGTCTCCTAGGTCCGAGTCGGACCCTCGAACCACTACACTGCACTGGCTCTTAGATCAGAGGACTAGAGCATAAGTTTGGCTCACTTTTTTTGGAACTGAACTCTTTTTCCCTATGCTGTCCTCAGTCTCTACAGATGTTTGAATTCAAATGTTTGAATTCAGAGGCGGACTTTGGAAAGGTTTCTGTCTGGGATAAGAACATAAGAAGACCCCTGCTGGATCAGACCAGGGAGGGTCCATCTAGTCCAGCATCCTGTCTCACACAGGGGCCAACCTGTTCCTCTGGAGGGCCAACAACAGGGCAGAGAGACCGAGGCCTTCCCCTGATAAGAACGTCAGAAGAGCCCGGCTGGATCAGACCAGGGGTCCATCTAGTCCAGCATTCTGTCACACACAGGGGCCAACCAGTTCCTCTGGAGGGCCAAGAACAGGGCAGAGAGACCGAGGCCTTCCCCTGATAAGAACGTCAGAAGAGCCCGGCTGGATCAGACCAGGGGTCCATCTAGTCCAGCATTCTGTCACACACAGGGGCCAACCAGTTCCTCTGGAGGGCCAAGAACAGGGCAGAGAGACCGAGGCCTTCCCCTGATAAGAACGTCAGAAGAGCCCGGCTGGATCAGACCAGGGGTCCATCTAGTCCAGCATTCTGTCACACACAGGGGCCAACCAGTTCCTCTGGAGGGCCAAGAACAGGGCAGAGAGACCGAGGCCTTCCCCTGATAAGAACGTCAGAAGAGCCCGGCTGGATCAGACCAGGGGTCCATCTAGTCCAGCATTCTGTCACACACAGGGGCCAACCAGTTCCTCTGGAGGGCCAACAACAGGGCAGAGAGGCTGAGGCCCCCTGCTCTCATTTTCTTTTAATGAGTGAGGGCCACATTTTGTGTCCCTGCCTTGGCGCTTGACAAGCAGCAACAGAATAAATTATGTAAAGCTGCCCAATAAATCATGGAGGAGATTGTGGAATAAATCATGCCGCCTTTTCGGTCCTGGCCCCGACCTGGTGGAACTTTCTGCTGAATAACATCAGGGCCCTGTGGGACTTTCTGCTGAATAACATCTGCTGCAGTCCCGCAGGGCCTGTAAGACAGAGATGTTCTGCCAGGCTTTTAGCTGGAGGCAGCAATGGAAGGTAAAGGCTGGCACCCTCTCTTTGTCTTCCTATGAAAAAGAAGAAGAGATTGGATTTATACCCCACCTTTCACTACCCAAAGGTGTCTCAGAGCGGCTTACCAACTCCTTTCCCTTCCCCTCCCCACAACAGACACCCTTTGAGATAGGTGGGGCTGAGAGAGCTCTGAGAGAACTGCTTGTGAGAGAACAGCTCTGAAAGAACTTGTGACTGACCCAAGGTCACCCAGCAGCTGCATGTGGAGGAGTGGGGAATCAAACCCGGTTCACCCATATTAGAGTCTGCGCACTTCACCACTACACCAAACTGGCTCTCCCCCCATGTACCTTTCCCTGCCCTGTCGTGCGGGATGGCGGTGTGGCCAGTAAAGGGGGATTATTGTATCACTGTCTTGGATTTATTTTAAATTATTGATTTATTGTTGGCAAACTTAATTATAGATATTGACTGTATTTTAAATGTTTCATAAGGCTGTAAAGCGCCCAGAGCCTGCTTGCAGGGTGGGTGATTCATAAGTTTAATGAAATAAATAAAATAAAATAAATACAGCCTCTTTGGCCGGAAAGATGTTTTAAATAAAAATTTAAAAGAAGAAAATGTTTGCATTGGACAGACTGGGCTGAGAACTTGATTTATTTATTCATCGGCTTGTAGTCGATCTCCAAGTCCTTTTATAGCTGGACATTTTGGAAATGGAATTTTAGTGCTTTGGGGATGCAGAACTTATTAACGCATTATTTATTTAGAAACTTCATGCACCACATCTGCCGCCATGCTTGAGGCAGCTTGTAGTGAAAACAGTTAAAAAGATATTGATAAGAACAAATAAAGTCAATATCAATTAAAAGCATGACCAATAAAAATGGCTGGTAAAAGCCAGTCAGAGTATAAAAGCGTATAACACGGAGCAGTCTAGAATGATGCTGATGAAACAGTCTGTAGGCGAGGAGCTTGACCATAAGAGAGTTAAAAAAAGATGGAACATCTTTGTTAAAATCCTGGGTAAAAAGAAAAGTTTGGGCTTGGTGCCTGAAAAAGAGGAAAGTGGGCACCAGGTGAGCTTCAAGGGGGAGGGCACTCCAAAGGCAAGGAATCAGCACTGGTTTCATTCACTACTTGCATTCATAGATTCAGGTGGGGTAGCCGTGTTGGTCTGAAGCGCTAGAACAAAGTTTGTGTCCAGTGGCACCTTTAAGACCAACCAAGTTTAATTCTGGGTATCAGCTTTCGTGTGCTCATGCTCATCCGTACGAAAGCTTATAGCCAGAATTAATCTTTGTTGCCCATGCGCACAAAAGCTTATACCCAGAATTAAACTTCATTGCTCATGCACATGAAAGCTTATACGCAGAATTAAACCTTGTTGCTCATGCGCACGAAAGTTTATACCCAGAATAAAACCTTGTTGCTCATCCGTACGAAAGCTTATACGCAGAATTAAACTTTGTTGCTCAGGCGCACGAAAGCGTATACTCAGGATTAAATGTTGTTGCTCAGCTCATGCACATGAACGCTTATACCCAGAATTAAACTTTGTTGCTCATGCGCACGAACGCTTATACGCAGAATTAAACGTTGTTGCTCATGCGCACGAAAGTTTATACCCAGAATAAAACCTTGTTGCTCATGCGCACGAAAGTTTATACCCAGAATTAAACCTTGTTGCTCATGCGCACGAAAGCATATACTCAGGATTAAATGTTGTTGCTCACCTCATGCACGTGAAAGCTTATACGCAGAATTAAACTTTGTTGCTCATGCGCACGAACGCTTATACGCAGAATTAAACTTTGTTGCTCATGCGCACGAAAGCATATACTCAGGATTAAATGTTGTTGCTCAGCTCATGCACATGAAAGCTTATACCCAGAATTAAACTTTGTTGCTCATGCGCACGAACGCTTATACGCAGAATTAAACTTTGTTGCTCATGCGCACGAAAGTTTATACCCAGAATTAAACCTTGTTGCTCATGCGCACGAAAGCATATACTCTGGATTAAATGTTGTTGCTCACCTCATGCACATGAAAGCTTATACCCAGAATTAAACTTTGTTGCTCATGCGCACAAATGCTTATACGCAGAATTAAACTTTGTTGCTCATGCGCACGAAAGCATATACTCAGGATTAAATGTTGTTGCTCAGCTCATGCACATGAAAGCCTATACCCAGAATTAAACCTTGTTGCTCATGCGCACGAATGCTTATACCCAGAATTAAACTTTGTTGCTCATGCGCACGAAAGCATATACTCAGGATTAAATGTTGTTGCTCAGCTCATGCACGTGAAAGCTTATACCCAGAATTAAACTTTGCTGATCTAAAACAGGGGTGGCCAATCTTGCTTAATATAACAGCCACACAGAATAAACGTCAGATGTTTGAGAGCCACAGGACATGAACAAATATTAACGCGCATGGTTTTATTTAAACATATGCAAATTTGCTTTTTTTTAACATTAAACGAGACTGCCAAAAATAAAAACAAAAGGGGTAAAAACAGATATCGATAATGATATTTATTTATCCAATGATATTTGTAGGCTTTGGCGGGGGCTCTGAGAATGCATTTATAGTTAAAGTTGCTCCCTTTCTCTGCAACCCCCCCCCCCAAGCCTACCCAGGGAGGGGAACACTGGCTGGGGAAGGGAGGACCGATCGGGGAGGCACGCCTCCCCTTTGCTTCCCCAGCCGTCCTGCCGGGAGCCACACAATATGCAGGAAAGAGCCGCAGTTTGGCCAGCCCTGGTATAAATGGTGCCACTGGACTCAAACTTCGTTCAGCTTCCATTTATTTGTGGTAAAAGGAGTTCTGACTCAAAAGCTTGTGGCTTTGAAATCCTTTTGGTCTTTAAGGTGCTACCGCACTTGAATCTTAGTTTCATTCATTGCATCTCAGCTGCCGTTTCTCCCCATTCTCAACCCTTCGAAGTCTAAACCCTTAAGAATGAGTTGTTGTTAAGATTCCTGATAACGGCAACAGGTGTCCCGGGATTCCTTTTGGAAAACATGAATAGGCTTGGTTTCCCCTTCAAATAGGGTTGCCAACCCCCCCCCCAATTTGGAAGGGGTCCCCCAGTTTTGGGGGGCTTCTACCTGCCACCGGCCAGCTGGCCACTGGGGAAGCCCCGCCCCCAACATCCACAGCAACCCCTCTCCCTTCTTTCTTGAGAGAGAGGAGGGAGAGGGGTGTGCGGGGGGGGGGAGGGAAACACCAGCTCCTTTAAGTGGAGGAAAAGGTAAAGGTAAAGGTTCCCTTGCTCGAAAGCCAGTCGAATCCAACTTTAGGGTTGCGCTGCTCATCTCCGTTTCAAAGCCGAAGAGCCAGCGCTGTCCGAAGACGTTTCCGTGGCCATGTGGCCGGCATGACTAAACACCAAGGCGCACGGAAGCCCCCTTTAAATGCAACGAAGTGGTCCCTATTTATCTACTTGCAATTTCTTGCTTTCGAACTGCTAGGTTGGCAGGAGCTGGAACTGCCCCCCCAAAGTCCCCCGCTGGGGGTGAAGATAGGACTTGGCAGCCCTACCTTCAAATGCCCTGCAGGACTGGGTTTCCCCCCCCCTTTGCTTGATCTGAATGCTGCCTAAAATAGACAGGAGGGAAGAGCTTTTACGCTGCCTCTTCTCGGTCCTGCCCCCAGCTACAAGGAGGACGACGATTTTGAGACGGACTCGGACGACTTGATCGAAATGACCGGCGAAGGGGCCGAGGAGCAGCAGGATAACAGTGAGACCATCGAGAAAGTGATGGACGGGAGAGTTGGCAGAAAGGGAGGTAAGGCCTTTTGCCGGGATTTGGGCATGCAGGGAGATGAAGCAATAGAATGTTGAGGGTGGCGGACGAACTGCACCATTTCAGGCTGCTGGTGGTGACAATAGCACCTCCTAAAGGAAGAAATGCCTCTTGTTCTTGCATTGGAGAGTTCAGTTTGTAACCTAGGACTTGCTTGTCCTCAGTGCACATAAATTAGATCAATCTGATGCCATACATATTTTTTAGAAATGATTTGGAAAATATTTGAATACCTTGTCTTAAAATATTTTATTCATAATGTTAAAATAAAATGTTCCATAATCACTTTTTTTCTTTTCTTTTTTCAATGTTTCCAATTTTTTTAAAACAAAACAAAACAAAAAAGCCTTCAGGAAAAAAATGGGTTTCCCCCCCGAATTTTTCCGGTTTTTTCCCGGGCCTTCACATCTCTACACCAGGATCTTCCTGTCTTGCCCCATAAACACAACTTGGGCTAAGAGCAGCCTGTAGCATACCAAATTCACTTCAAGGTGCTAGTTCTCACCTTTAAAGCCCTTTGTGGTCAGGGGCCTACATACCCGAGAGACCACATTTCCTCACATGTTCCCCAGAGAGCACCGCGTTCAGGGTCTTAAAACCATCTGGCCCTCCCTGGTCCCAAAGAAGCCAGGCTGGCCACGACCAGGGCCTTTTCAGTGGCGGCTCCGTGCTGGTGGAATGAGCTCCCAGAAGACATCAGGGCCCTGCGGGACCTTTTACAGTTCCACAGGGCCTGCGAGACGGAGCTTTTCCGCCAGGCTTTCAGCCAGGGAGCCGCATCTAATAACTGATATAGGCTAAGATCCTGTGCCCTGGAACCACTATTGGCAGCCTGTGCCCCACCAGAATAAATGGACTGAGATAATAGCTCTAACATCAATGCTGACTGTATTCTCATTATGACTGATCTGCCACTATGGTCCGCCATCACTGTGCAATACTGTTACTAGCACTTTATGATTGGTTTTATTCAGGGCTCTTTTGGTAGAAAAAGCCCAGCAGTGACTCATTAGCATAATAGGCCACACCCAACAACAGGAACTCATTAGCATATTGAGCCACACCCCTGACAGCACAGCTCATTAGCACATTAGGCCACACCCCCATGTTACCAGAAGTGTGCTCATCCAGCCACACCCATCTTTTGCTTCTTATTCTGTTTACCTTGTTTGTTGTCCAAACCCAGGGCTTTTTTGTAGCAGGAACTCCTTTGCATGTTAGGCCACACACCCCTACTGTAGCCAATCCTAGTGAGTTCCTGCTGTTGGGTGTGGCCTATTATGCTAATGAGTTCCTGCTGGGCATGGCCAACTTGGGAGCCAGCCGGAACTCCGTTCCTGTGCGTTCCTGCCCCAAAAATAGCCCTGGTTTTATTAATGTTCTGTTTTATATGTGTTAAATTTTTATGTAAGCCACCCTGAGCCTGCTTCGGCAGGGAGAGCGGGGTATAAATTGAATAGACAAACTAACAAAGATGCTGAGAGATGCTGTTCTTCTTGCTTGGATGATGCTAACTTTCACTCCCCCACCACCCCTGTCAACAGCCACTGGGGCTTCCACGACCGTCTATGCGATGGAAGCCAGTGGTGACCCCTGTGCCGATTTCGACCCCAAGGAGGAGGAGGGAGAGGTCCAGTACCTGATCAAGTGGAAGGGCTGGTCGTACATCCACAGCACGTGGGAGAGCGAGGATTCCCTGCAGCAGCAGAAAGTCAAAGGCCTGAAGAAGCTGGAGAACTTCAAAAAGAAAGAGGAGGAGATCAAGCAGTGGTACGTCGCACTGGAGGATTTCCAGCGCCCGGTAGAGGGATGCATTAGTGCAGCTGAGGGGGATCCAGCCAGGCAGGCCTGCTCTGGCGTCGTGCGATCGCCTCTCTGGTCCCAGAGCTGAGCTGAATGCAGTTTCTTAATCTTGGTTTAAAGGATTTGCCAGGGAGGTGCTAGATTTGCAAACCTCCGGGTAGGGCCTGAGGATCCCCCAGTGTTACAACTGATGTCCAGGTGACAGAGGTCAGTTTCCCTGGAGAAATTGGGTACTTTGGAGGGTGGACTCTGGCATTAGACCCCAGTGAGGCACCTCCCCGGGCTGCACAACCAAACCTCCAGGGTTTTCCCAAGTAGCAGTTGGCTGCACTAGGGTTGTCACCTGGAGGTCTCGGGGAATTACGGCCGCTCTCCAGACTACTGGGGGTCTGTTCTCCTGCAGGAACGGCAGCTTTGCAGAGCGGGCTCTATGGTGTTCTGCTCCGCTTAGGTCCCTCCCCGAACTCCACCCAGTTCTTTAGCCAAGGTTGTGGTCACACGGGCCAGAAAAAGCGGTGTGGGCGGGGGGGGGGAGGAAGCGAGGCTATTTCCTCCAGAGGAATTCGACCCGCAGTTGCACGATCACACCCAGGGGTCGTTTAGTAGAAAAAGAGCTAGGGGAACTCATTAGCATAACTCATTAGCATATGCCACACCCCCTGACATCAGGGGCCCGGTGGTGGACCTGCAAGGCCGGCGGGAGTGCAAGGAAGCCCCGCCAAGGCCCTCCCTGGCCCCATACAGGCAGGGGTGGGGAGAGGCGGGGAGGAAGCAACTTACCCTCCCTCTTCTCCTGCCTCCTCCTGGCTGAATGAGGGCCGGAAGCGGGGTGGCCGGAAGCAGGGGGCGGGGCTTCGTCGTGTGCCCCGCACCTCATCCGGGGGAACTGCGATCCCCCGTGTTCCCCCCCGAAATGACCTCTGATCACACCTCCCTTTGAAGCTGCGGGAGCAGTCCGTCAGTGTGTGATCAGACGTAACTGCGGATGAGTCGGGGTTTGGGGTTTTTTGGTGCCGTTCTTTTCCCATGTGCTTAAATGAGGGATCGAAGAACCGCACCTCCGCACCGAGGGCTCCCTATGCAGTTTGCGATGATGTGCATATTGTGAAGGGGGGGAAGAACAAGAGCACGGAGTCACAATGGCCTGATCAGACCATCCCGACGCCATGAGAGCACGCTGGAGCGATCAGACACAGGAAAGTCCGTCCGTGGCCTGTCGCAACCCATTTGCTACAGGATTTCCCCTGCTGTCTTTTAACTCCACTTCCGCGGCGGAGCAGAACGGGTTGCCGACGGCTGTGTGGCGCTTCCCAGATGTCGTCGTCTGATCGCGCCCTTTCAATCCGCCCAGCATTCATGCCTGTGTCGGGTCTAACGGCGCGTATGATCGCGGCCCAAGTTGGTTTTTAAATCTGTGACGCTGTGGGGCAGGATACCACCGAAATGCCCTGGCTTCTGCCCGCATGCTGAATTGTCTCCTTCTTGTGCAGGCTGGCCAAGGTGTCCCCTGAGGATGTGGAATACTTTAACTGCCAGCAAGAACTGGTGGCAGAATTGAACAAGCAGTATCAGATAGTGGAACGGGTGATCGGTGAGTGCCGCGGGAAGCCGAGGGCATTTTTGGGGAGTGGTTTTTGATTCTGGGTGGTTTTGAAATCGGGGATGGGAAATAAGACATCGCCCTGTTCTGGTTGGCCCAGCCTAGCTTGGTCTCGTCAGATCCTGGAAGCTAAGCAGGGTCTGACCTGGTTAGAATTTGGGTGGGAGGCCGCCAGTGACGTCCTTGGGTTGCTATGCAGGGGCAGGCGATGGGAAACCACCTGTTTGTCTCTTGCCTTGAAAATGATGGGATCTCCATACGTGGGCCACAACTCGATGGCACTCTCCGCTCCCACTTTGAATGCCCCCGTTTCAAATGGTCTCACGTCGTGATTGGTCTGTGAAGAAACTAAGAAATACCACTGGGTCGATTAATCTGCTCAAAAAAAAAATCTTGTGTAATACCTGGAGAACACTAGCAGGAGTAAAGAGGGCTGTGACTCACCAAAGCATAGTGAAATAAATGTTTGAGTCCAGTGGCACCTTTAAGACCAGCAGAGTTTTATTCGAGGTGTAAGGTAAAGTGCTTGCACATTTCTTCAGGTCTGAAGGAAGTGTGCCTGGACATGAAAGCTTATACCCAGAATTAAACTTTGTTGTCCTCAAAGGTGCCCCTGGACTCAGACCTTGTTCCATTGAAACAGAAAGCATCTGATGGAAGTGTGCATGCATACAAAAGCTTGCACCCAGAATTAAACTTTGTTGTTCTTCAAGGTGCCCCTGGACTCAAACTTTTTTCTTTTGCTTCAGACCAACACGGCTACCCCACCTGAAATAAACTTTGTTACTCTTTAAGATGCCACTGGATTTAATTATTTTTTTAACATGGGCCCCTGCCACACGGGGGGGGGGGGGAACACGGCAAAAGCGGGGGAAGGGAAAAAATGATTACTAGTTTTAATATTATAGTCAAAAAGGTATCCAGCTTAGTTTGTTTGTTGGCTAGAAGCCTGCAAAAGTCAGAGGCAGACACCATACACTCAGAACTCAGAGCATCTCTCTCACTTCCCAAAACAGCACTATGGCCCCTGCCACACAAGGAGCCGGGATTGCTACGAACAAAGAGTGCGCTGGCAATCCCACGGCTTGATGTGGCATCCCAGGTAAGTCCTCCTCTGAGGGTGGTTCTTTTTTACAGTGCATTATTGGCCTGAAGGGACAGATCGGGGACGGGCGCGAGCCGATTCCCAGATGTTGCGGTGTGCTCGCGCCCGTTTGCTGCGCCCCCGATCTGTCCCTCTCCCGGGCCAAAATCTCCCGTGTTACCGGGGCCTTCGATAGACTAACACGACTACCCCATTTGCAATCAAATTTATCTGTCGGCCCAGCATTTCGCAACAAGAAGTCATAAGCCAGGTTTGGCCCTTGCCACGCCGAGAGAAAGAAGAGGGATCGGCATGTTACGGTCATCTAACTCAGTAGTTTTGAAAGAGCAGCCATGTGAGGTGGTCCTTCTGTTTTTGAGCATGGGGAAAGCGACGGAATAATTTGATGCTTTCTCTGACGGACCTTGACGTGCTAAAATCACCTTATTTGGGTTTTTCTCCTCTCCCCCCCCCACCCCACTGACCCTTAGCTGTAAAGACAAGCAAATCAGCCACAGCTGGTTCTCAATTTCCAGGTAAGGTGGCTTTTTATTTTCATCAGTTTCAAGAAACTGACGTGATACCACATCTGGAGAGAGCAGATGTTGTGCAGCTAGCAGTGCACTCTGAAGCATAGTTACGCCCTTCTGATTGCATCAGAGTCAGTGAACTTAGAAGAGTATAGAAGGGTGGCGATTCTGTTTAGGATGATGCTGTGACTGTTCGACCTGGGAAGATGCTGGAGATTATTAGGAAGGGTATTGAAAACAGATCAGCCAATATCATAATGCCCCTATATAAATCAATGGCGAGACCTCATTTGGAATACTGTGTGCAGTTCTGGTCACCACACCTTAAAAAGGATATTATAGCTTTGGAAAAAGTGCAGAAAAGGGCAACTCGAATGATAAAAGGGTTGGAACACTTTCCCTATGAGGAAAGGTTAAAGCGCTTAGGGCTCTTTAGCTTGGAGAAAAGACGACTGAGGGGTGACATGATCGAGGTTTATAAGATTATGCATGGGAAAGAGCAGGTAAAGAAAGAGGTACTTTTCTCCCTTTCTCACAATACAAGAACCCGTGGGCACTCCATGAAATTGCTGAGCGGTCGGGTTAGAACGGATAAAAGGAAGTACTTCTTCACCCAAAGAGTGATTAACACATGGAATTCACTGCCACAGGAAGTGGTGGGTGCTACAAGCATGGACGGCTTCAAAAGGGAATTAGATAAGCATATGGAGCAGAGGTCCATCAGTGGCTATTAGCCACAAGGTATAGCTAGGGACTCTGGGGCAAGTGATGCTCTGTCATCTTGGTGCTTGGGGGGGTCAACAGTGGGAGGGCTTCTAATGTCCTGGCCCCACTGGTGGACCTCCTGATGGCACTGGTATTTCTGGCCACTGTGTGATACAGAGTGTTGGACTGGATGGGCCTTTGGCCTGATCCAACATTGGCATCTCTTATGTTCTTATGTTCTTATTACCCCAGTTTACGTTTCCTTTCTGTTACAAACTAGACAGCCTCTCACAAACTCTGCTCAGTCGGCCGGCCACCTGCGCCATGAGGATAATCCTACTGGCCTACCTCACAGGGTTTTTGTATGGGGGACTGGGAATGAAGATGAATGCACTTTCTGAGCGAGGCTGGAGATGGTTGTGAGCAAGCAGCTGGAGTGGAGCACGATGTCATCTACATAGACATAGACCTTTATTGGCATAACACAGGAACAATAAGGAAGGCAATGGAACAAATAAATTAATAGAACGAATTAATAGATCATAACAAGTTACATCAAGTTACGCCGACAAGGGATCATTTTAAAACTTCTCAAGAATAGTGAACTCAGTTAAAAAATATAACAATCCAAATGAGCACAAGGGGGATGAAGACTTATGCGCCCTTAGCTTCCAAACATAAGCTAAGAGTTCAGCAACAGACAGGGTAATTGCCGAGAACTTATCAGACAATAGAATTTTAAGATCATTGTCAGTCGAATTCCTTGTGGAAGGTAAGTGGGGACTGATCAAATAGCTGCGCATGGTAGAGTGTTGGGGACAGCGTAGAAGGATATGAGCAACTGAATCAGGTTCACTATAGAGACAATTGCAGGTTCTATCCCTATAGGGGATACCCCTATATCTGCCTGAAACAACAGCCGAAGGAAAGAGATTAAATCTCGCTAGCATAAAAACCACGATGTCTCCACACCACTTCCTCCAGCTTTAGAATGTGGGCCTCTCTTCACCCTGGGCTCTCAGGCTGCAGGGGGCGGCCTTGACAACCTGGAAATAGCTGGGTGGTTTGAGAGAACAAAGGCAAGACAGACACTATCTCCCACTTGCCATGACTGAAGGAAATCAGAAGGCCAGGCGGTCTTTTATACCCCTGAGTCACATTCCATTGGCCCTTCAGCTTCACCTGGTTTCCCAGGATGCTCCTGGACTATTACAGCCCTCTCCTGGCTGGGATAGCCAGCAGCTCCCTCCTCTAAACCACTGCTTTAGTGGTCCAGGCAGGTTTCAGGGCTCCTTGTTCAAGTCCAGCAGTGCCTGACAGGGATGGGCTTTGAACAATGAAGGCGTTCCGTCTCTGATGATCTCCATGAATTAGATCAAAAGTCGGTCTAGGTCGGCACTGTCGAGCTGAACAGCATAGAGGTCCTAGTCCTGTTTCCTGAGATCTTTTCGCTGGAGCTTGCCGGGACGAAAGCCTGTGGCCTTGCGCTCTCAGAGCATGTACCTGCTGCTGTAGCAACCCATCGCTAGATATTGCATTTTTATTGCTCTCATTTGCAACTGGATTTTCTCGGTGGATGAGGCAGTCCAGTTGTGAACAACCGCTGTAGCACGGCAGTCGGCCATTGCACTATCGTGCTGTAGCCGTAATCTGCAACCGGAATGCCTTGTCCACAGAGGAAAACCCAACTGCTAAAAGATGCCGTTGTGAAATGACACGCAATGTGCAGCAAAATACAGATGCAGCCCTAGGCACCTTTGGTCTAGTGTTCCTTGAATGCTGCGTTTCTTGGAAGCTCCTGGAAAAGGGCTGTGCTAGGCGCCATCGTTATGACATTAAACAACAAAGCTAGCATTTTAACATTGTATTGTTTTAATGAATTGTTTTTAAACGTTTTATGAAACTTGATTGTTAATGTGTCTTTTATCCTGTGTAAGCCGCCCTGAGCCTACTTTGGTGGGGTAGGGCGGGGTATAAATTGTAAAATAAATAATGTTCTGAACACCTCTCCCCCCTCCCCCTTCGCAGCTCACAGCCGCAAATCCTCCTCTAATGAGCCGGAATACCTTTGCAAATGGATGGGACTTTCGTATGCCGATTGTAGCTGGGAAGATGAGGCCCTGATCAGCAAGAAATTCCAGCACTGTATCGACAGCTTCAACAGCAGGAACAACTCCAAAACCATGCCCACTCGGGACTGCAAGGTTTGGCTGTTCCCATGGCTTTCTCCTTGCTTTCGGGATGCTGGAATACCACGATTGACACCAATGTTCCCTCTAATTGTTTCCTCCTACTGAGCGGAGCAGTTCACACCCTGTGCAGAATCTAACTGTTGTGATCTTAAAATGTAAATCCAAAAAGCAGGGAAAGCATAGTGTCACAAAGTTCAAAAAAAATGCAAAAACCGCTAGGAAAAGCACCATCAAAGAATGCCAATATATATATTTAACAATTATAAAGTTGGTGGTGCCACAACATCAAAATAAGTGCATACCAGGGGTCATTTCGTAGAAAAAGAGGTGCAGGAGCTCATTAGCATAACTCATTAGCATAACTTATTTGCATGTGCCACCCCCCCTGACATCACCAGAAGTGTGTCAGAAGGCAACCCCCGCCGCTCAGGCTCCACTGGACTGTTTTGGATTGCTAGCTATTGGGGGGGGGGGAATGTGCAGATCTGTCCTCGCAGAGGAGGGAGAGCTTGTACCTGAATAAACCTCGGTCTTAAAGGTGCCACTGGACTGTTTTGGACCGGGGGGCCGGGGGGAGCTCTGCAGCTTACCTGGCTGCTTCTTGCTCTGACTGAGGACTGCTGGAGCAGGGGGTGGGGCTTGTTGCATGTGCCCGCCCCCTGGGCTCTTTACTGCCGGAGCTCCGCTCCTATGCACTCCTGCAGGAAATGACCCCTGGTGCATACTAATACTATAAACAAGGCATAGAGTACAATGTTTCTTCCTTCAAAGATAAATTTAAGTCCAAGTTCAACTCAGCAGGAGGAATCCATATTTTCAAAACATTTCCAACAACAGCCTTCGCAAAAACGCCCGTTCCAGATACTTAAAGGAGTCGTTTCCATCAACTTCTTCAGTTTGCTGGCTGTATAGTTGGAACCTGATTCCAACAATTTCTCCTGACAACAAGGTTCATAGTGTGAAGATCTGGCAGTGGGCAGTGCGAGATCCCGCATGGCTCCAGATTGCTGCTGAGGGGGGACTTCTGTTGTTAATGAGCGGCTCGCTCATGGTTGAGCAAACCTGAAGGGGTTTTGCCTTTCTAGGTGCTGAAGCAGAGGCCCCGGTTTGTCGCCTTGAAGAAGCAGCCTTCATACATCGGTGGGGAGAACTTGGAACTCCGAGATTACCAGTTGGAAGGCCTCAACTGGCTGTCGCACTCATGGTGCAAGTAGGTGAAGGAAGGGCAGCCGACGCACCAGGGAAACGCTCCAATTTGTCAACAGGAATATCATTTCACTTTCCCATCCCCACTCCCCCAGTGCAACCCACTGATCTCTACAAATCACTCCTCCTGGGGTCACCCAATGAAAATAATTGCTGGTATACTCCAGAGAGCGGAAAAGGAAGAGTATCTTTGCATACCTGAAACTAACTTATTCAAATCCCTGTCCCAAGCTGGAGGTGGGGGGGGGGGGGGGGGGGGGGGGGGGAGTGGCTGAGATAGCTTTCAAGAGAATCAGACAAATTCAGAGATCAGTCTTTCAGCCGTGCTGGCTAAAAGGAACCTCCATATTCAGAGGCAGTGTATCACTGAATGCCAAAAGCTGTGGGGATCCCAGAGGCATCTGGCTAGCCCTTATTAGAACTGGGGTTCTGGATGCAAGAGGGCCCCAGCTCCAATCCAGGAGGGCGTTTCTCAGGGGTCATTTCATAGAAAAAGAGGTGCTGGAGCTCATTAGCATAACTCATTAGCATAACTTATTTG